ACAGGCTAAGCAGTTGGCCACCGCGTGTGCCAAGACCAGAGATTTGACTCTGAATCAGAGTGTTTGTTTTATGTGCTCTCTGAGGATAAAAGACATCCGTGGGGCTTCAAAGGGATTTATTCCAACTATTGGCTGGTTGGGCGGCAGGGGACGGGAATTCCAGCACAGGACACTTACACCTACCTCTGCAAGGATTGTTGCAGTAGTTCTCATGCATGCTGCTGCCTAATCCTTTGGGGAAGGCCTCTGGGTGAATCTGCAGGGACTCTCTCACTTGGGTTTCATTTGTGATTCACAGCAAAAGGCCCCACCCAAGAAGAAAGAAGTACTTTTCCCTGTGCTTTTGCCCCTTGATGGCTAAGTCACTAATTATGCTAATGATATTCTTTGCTTTTCATTTTTGTGATACAGGGTCTTGCTATGTAGTTCAGGCTGGCCTTGACCTTGAACTCACTATGTAGCCTAGGCTGGCCTTGAACTCACTGTGATTCTCCTGCCTCAGCCTCCCACATGTTGGGATTACAGGCCTGCGCCATCAGGCCCAGCTCTGCTAGTCATAAATTCTTAAGTTTATTTTCTGTTAAACAGCATAGTGATATAATGATAATTCATCTACGAGACAGGCTCACTTTACAATGGCCTTTGTCAGAGACTTACTCAGTATGTCTATAAAAACATTTTGTTCATGAAAATATTTATTTTGAAGGTCTCTGCAGGCACATTTTTAAAAGACCTTTACACATAGTCAAATTTACTTTTAATTTTGTCTTTACCTCACATACGTGTGTAATTTTACACGAATACACATATGCAGCTTTTGTATTGTTGAATTTTTTAACTGCATGCTTTTCCTTAAAAAAAAACAAAAACATTGCTGACTCAGTCAGCTTGGGATGGTAATAGCAGAAGCAGCACAGACTTTGTGGCTTAAACACTAGGAATTTATTCCTCACAATCCTAAAGGCTGGGAGGCCCAAGAACAAGGTGCTCAGAGACATCTGGTGTACAGAGGGGCTCTTCCTTGCCGTATTTCCCATGATGGAGAGTGAGGAGCTCTGAGCTCATTCACTTAGAGGATCATGTTGTGAGAACCGTACCTTCATAAGCTCACGCGAACCTGATCATCTTACAAGGAATCACCACTAAATCCCCTCAAAGTGGGGATCAGGACTTTAATGTACCGATTTGGTGAAGGCAGGTATGGGACACCAGTACCCAGTGCACGAGGCCCTCCCTTCCCCTTCTTTCCTCTCTCTCCCCATAACACACTGCCCCTTTCAGATAATCCCTGTTAATGCCCCAGGCTCATCCGTCTGTATTTTCCTCCGTGCCTATATAATGATATACAGCATGGACCTCCCTGTATAAATCTATAAATATACACAGATGCAGCTTTTATTGCTATCTACCAAAGGGAAGCAACACATACATTCTTTTCTCCATTTTGCTTTTTTTAATTCCACAAAATCTTCTGCAAACCCCTCCACTGAGTGATACTGCTCTAAGTTAAATTTCAAAGGCTGCATTATATTCCACGGTCTAAACTGAGTCAACCATTTGAGTCAACCATTTCCTTGTGGGTGGGCACTTGCTCTGCTTAGAGTTTTGTCACTGTGGGCAAGGTTGCAGTTAAACGTCCTCCATCACATATTTGCGTAGCCGCCTCTTTTATCTGTGTTGGAGAGAGGCTCCGTGCTGCGTGGCAATGACAGACACAGTGCAGGGTCCTTTGATCATTTCTTTAGTCTTTGGATCTCTTCTGCTTTGATGTTTCGTGGAACGTGCTGCCTGGGTAAGCTTAGCGGCTCACCAGTGGACTTGTCAAAAGGTCTCCAGGTGTGACATTTCCCAGAAGCAATGATTTCCACTTCCATGGTACAGGTACAGAGAGTGAACTTCGTCCACGTATCTCAAGATGATCTGCCCTTTTGTGATAACTCTGAGACACTGGATTCACATGACATTTGATCCATGGGACTGATGGCATTCACGGGCAATGACAGTTCTTTTCCTGTTCTAACACTTCTGAATGAACTATAGCCCTACATAGGGAACTCCAGGTGTTGGCTCTGCTGTTTATTCACTCATTCGACGAATATTTATAATACATCAGACACTGGAGCTAAATCTATGAATAAGCAATAAAATCTTCACCTCTGTGAAGGAAATGGTGATGAATAATATAAATAAGCAAATATAATCATGGTGCTTATAAGCCCATCACCTGTGTCACAGGTCAAGAGGAGGGAACTTTTGGATACTAGGATGCTGGAATTGTTGGCAGTCACCCTAGGTCTGATCACCACAAAGGAAATCAATAGAGACTTTCGTTGGTTTGAGCATAGAGAGTGAGTCAAAGACAGAAACAGCCAAAAAGTCAGAGTTTCCCTTAACTAGGTACGACTAAAGAGAGAAGATGAAGGGTTTGATTCTGGCGGCACAAAGAATGAGATGCTAAACTGGGTGCGGTGACACACATCTGCAGTCCCAGCTCCTCCAGAGGCTGAGGCAAAAGGCTTGCAAGATCAGGCCCTGTCTGGGCAACTTCGTGATTTAATGAGATCCTGTCTCACAGTAAAAACTTAAAAAATGAACTGGGGATGTAATTCTGTGCAAAGGCCCTAGATTCAGTCCTCAGTTTCTCAAAAAAACGTACTTATTTATTTAAGAAATAAGATGAGCTGGGGGTGTAGCTCAGTGGCAGAGTGACCCTGGATTCAGTTCCAGTGCTGAAAAAAAAAAGGAATGAGATGCTTATGGAGATGTCAAGTAGAGCTGTGTGAGTGACCCTAAAGCTCAGGGCAGGTGTATGATAGGCTGGAAAGTGTGAGACTCGTTAACATGCAAGTGGTATTGAAAGCCAGGAAACGAGATCACCGTGGAGTGAGGTGGATAATAAGATGGTTCAAGGATGAGATCCCAGGGTCTCCAAAATTAAAAAGTCGGGTCGTAGAGAAAGAAAAAGTGAGGGAGACTAAATGAGACAGATATACAGGAAGGGCTGGGGCCCTTCTGTCTTTATGTGTCAAATCATTTAAATCTCAGAGAGGAAAGTTTTTCCTCCTATCTCCCTGTCTAGGGAGATAACCTACTTATCCTGTTGCTTCCCCACCCCTGAGGGGGTTACTCTTCTGTGTGCTCTTAGATACTAGGTATAAATAGAAAAAAGGATTTCACTCTGTTGTGAAAGTTCAACAACCAAATGTGCATTTTTGCACACATACGCTAACCTAAATTCAGCATGTGTGTGGGCAACATGGTCAGTGGGAGTGTGTGAGAAGCTTCATTTTGAGATTAACGCCATAAAAAAGGCCAGTCTGTAAAGCGTATGCTCCCTTGAATGACACAGGTCACTCATCGCCTCCCAAGGGAGAGGTTTCAAAAGTGGACACGAGAATGTGACTTCCCTAAATGTATTAGAGGTAGACGACAGAGGTATTTTTAAAATCAGTGCACATTTGTCTACTAATCGAAGGGGTGGCTCTAAATAAAAGAACACGTAGAAGTAGTTGCATATGAAATGTTTGTGAGGAAGGTAACCAAACACAATAGTGGTGGAAAAGGAGAAAATGGCAGTCTGGAGATTGCTAACTGAACTGAGCGTTTTCATCATTAATTCCCATCCAATGTGATGATAGGGTTTTCATTCTGTCTTCTCGTAGATGTGCGTGTAGGGGGCGTCGTTCCTAACACTTCCTACCACTAATTTTCCATCTTCCAGTATTCTTGCCATTGTACTGCCCTTTTCATCTCATTCCTGGTGTTGAACCAATGTACCATTTATGAAATTGTGCACGGTCTGAGTTTTCCTGCTGTCAACTACAGTGTCTGCTAGATTGCAAGAAAACTGAACTCTTCAAAGAGTTCTGTTTTCATGCTGAGGTTTTTGCTGCCACAAGAGGTGGTAGAGTTTGGCCACTGTCCCCATTTTTTGAAAAGCCACTCCCGCTGGTCGCTCCTTAACAAGTTCTCTCACACCTTTGTTCTCACCTCATGCCACCATCTGCCAGCTGCGGGGTGGTGGCCATGGTGGGAACGCGCGGATGTGCAGAGCGTGGAGAGCAGGATCTGGGGGGAGGAGTGTGGGCTTGCAGGGGCATTTTTGTGGACACCATCTGATGAATATTTATTTCAGCCTTGCTGATTATGTAGAGAAATATACTAAAGTCATTAAAGTGTAAGCCTCTTCTGTGAGTGAGACAAGCCTCCATTGCATACTTGGAATTTAAGAATATATCTCGATGCATTTGGCTTTGAATAAATATTTTCAGTTTTTATAGAACAGAAAAACAATCACAGAATTCCAAGTGGTTAAGTTGAAGCAAAGCCTCCACTTGTCTAAACTGAGTACATTATACTGTAATTAGCACTGTAGGTGGTGTAAATACACATGTGCACGCACTGTCTGCTGTGTGTATTGAAACTATGTCACTGGGTTCAAGGGCCGTTTTACACGTAAATAAAGACCTACATGTTTGCTTAAAAGAGAAATATTTTCCCCACCTCCTCTCAAGTGTTTCTTAGGTGTCTTCATTGGCGAAGTCAGCTCATGTGACAAATGTTAAGCTTATTTCTTAGTAGAGTTGTATTGTTTTAGAATTGATTTTCAGTGTACAAATGGTCCTATTAGTTCTCTGACACAAAGCAGAATGCAGTCTCCCTTTAATCAAAGAGGAAATGGAGGCAAAGAGCGCAGCGGTCTCCTCTGAGCTCAGAGCCCAGGCCTTTGCTCTGGGGTGGAGGCTGCGCCTCTCCAGTGGGACCACACAGATGACATCCCGATTAGGGTCGCCCCCTCCGGAAGCAGCAGCTACAACAGGGTAATGAATGGCTGCCTTGCCTTTCAGATAGGCCTGGGGTCAAGTTAGTTTATTTGTTTTTAATTTAGCTGAAATTACAGGCTGGTTGAAAGATCCCTTTGATGGTAGTGATCTTTTGAATAGACCCACAAACCTTGGGGTCTCTCTCGCTTCCCTCTAACCCTTCCTCCCATTCGCAAGGTTAGAAAAGCACTTGGGAGACACATTCATCTGGCCTGCGCTGTCAGGAGCCATCAGCGAGTTTTATTAAACGCCTGGGGATCGCCTGAAAGACCTCCTTGTCTGAGCCTGCAATGAAAGGGGCGCGGTAAGATCTGGGGGCACGCTGTCGGGACCCCTGGTCCTGCCCCTCGGCCTGTGAGTGACACCCAGGAGGAAGCGGGCGCCCTTCTTTGTGCAACGGACTTTCTGGTGGCCAGAAGCGAGTTGGCCCTGGCATGAGCTCTCCAGGTTGGGGCGGGCCCCGAGCCCTGCTGCTCCTGCTGCTCCTGGATGGGGCTGCGCCCACCTTCATCAGCGTGAACCACGGGCTGAGGGTGATGAAGGGCGGCTCGGCCTTCCTGTCGGCGGAGGACCTGAAGTTTGCCGTCCCCAGGGAGAAAGACAACTGCAAAGTGGAAGTTGTGATGCATGAGCCCATAACCCAGAGAGTTGGGAAACTCACTCCCCAGGTGGGTCATAGCTGAGAGTCTCTTTTCAGTAGTGTGTGTGTGTGTGTGTGTGTGTGAGAGAGAGAGAGAGAGAGAGAGAGAGAGATGCAAACAGACAAAGTGGGGTGGGGTAGCTTTCCAAAGGCTGGGGTGGGCAGTTCTTGTAGGCTCTACTATGATCAGTCTTTTGTTTTGTTTGTTTTTGTTTGGTTTATTGTTTTTGTTTGTTTTTTGGTTTTTTTCCAGTACCGGGAATCCAACTCACGACCTTGCGCTTGCTAGGCAGGCGCTGTGCCGCTGAGCTAAATCCTCAGCCCCTACGATCAGTCTTTATAGGGTTATTCCTTCCCGAAATCATTGACAGTCAGGGTGCTTCTGGATATTAAGATTTTAAGACATTTTAAGGACATACTTGTAACTCTCAGAACAGCAAAGGTAAAACATGAAAGCATTTTCATTTATTAATATCACTTAGGTCTTCATTTGAGAAAGGGAAATAACTCTAAACATTCACAGTTCTTCAAAAAACCTTGTATAAATATTTTCCACTTTAATAAAAACTCCAGGGACCTTCTTATGTAAGGGTATTACTGGTCACTTCATTTGCAAAATAAAATGTCACCTTCCAAGTCTGTATTTTTATATATTGTTGTTGCTTAATATACACATAGTAGAAAGGTGCTTCTGGTTTTGTTTCTTGCTCCTGCTGTGGCTTCACTTTGCTCCCTCGGTGGTCTTGAGAATACCCAACTCTAGATACTGCTGCTGTTGCTGCTTCTGGAAAAATTTACCAATCCAATTGCTGAACTAAGAACATTATTTCTTTTCCATTTAGGTACGGATACATATACCATAAAGTTATGTAAAGTAGTATGTAGACATTGAACAAAAAAAATTGGGTAGATACTACTTCAGTGATTTAATATTTTATTTGCCTAACTTAAAGTTATGGTCCAATTCTGAGACACCTCAGACTTCTAAGGAAAGGGGTCTCTTACTAAGGGTATTCCTGATGAGGTAGTGATCGGAAGTCTCCCCCCAATTTCTGGTGACTGTTCCTGCACCAGTTTAAGACTTTTGAAGAGTTAAAGAGCTTCAGATGGGTACCTAAAAGTGTTAGAATACAATAACGAGGTGGGTATCATGACATTGCATATCCAAGTGTTTGCTGGTTGTAACTTCTTCCCACTTTTCTCTCAACGTTACTTGCACCCTGAAAGGGTGGATTAGGGAAGAAGGAGATCAGGGTGCAGTAGACAGGATGGGTAGTAAGCTTAACAGCGGGCAGTGGAGCCCCAACTACAGGGTCTGGAATCAAAATCAGAGTGCAAATCCTTAGAATTTTGAGGAGCAGTGAGATAGAGTCCTAATTTTAGAGGACTGGAAACTTTGATAAGACAGGGGCCCAGTCAGTATCTTTTGAAAAAAGGTGTTTAACACTTATTTAGGAGTGAGGATGAGTAGTATTACCTTGGGGAAAAGAAAAAACAAAATTTCTGCTGGCAGCCAGCAAGGGTAAGTTCTCTAAGCTGTCATCTAGTGTATTTAGCTGGGACCCCCATAGGAGCAAAACAAAAGCCCTGCCACTCACCAGTTGCTGGTCAGAGAAGGCAATTTGGACAGGATCTGTTGTCATGTATTCCAGCCTCTGAGGGTGATCCTCTCCCTACCCCTAATGGCCTGTGACTTCTTAACACATGTGACCCTCACTCTGAGAGTAATAATGCATTGTCTCCATTATACACTTTTGTCGCCATTGTATACTTTTAGTGATGTTTTAATGACTCTGATTGTTTGGGTTGCTCTGAGGCACTAAAAAACAAAAAGGGATCTCAGTGACTAGAACTATTTAAAGAGTGTGGTCATAAGGTCTAAGGATTAGATTAGACCTCCAAGTCATCTCCATCTTAAACTTTCTCTGATTTTAAGGCAGAAAAGCTAGTTACTAGGAAGATAATATGGGGCAGAAACAACAAAATGCCTGGGTGACTTAGGATACTCTGGACTAGGATATACCCTCTAGATACTGGTCCTCTAGTTTACTGTTGCTCATTTAAACAACTAGAATCTTCTCCTGGACATTCAGCATATGTATTCCAAAGGTAAATATGGTATCCCTAACCGATTTACATCATCTGAAGTGGGCATATAGTTTATATCTTCTCAAGAAGAGCCCATCAGAATGTGAATTTCCATCACCATTTTACCAAGTATTAAACTTTTGCTATGGAAAAATGTATAGTATCAGAGAACTTTGTTCCTCAAACTGCTTGGTGATCATTCCTATTTTTTTTAAGTCCTGAAAGTCAACAAAAATAAGAGTCCCAAGTAGTTTTGGCCTGGGGCGGGGGCGGATTTTAGCCTGACTTTTAACCCAAGTAGGCTTAACCCTCTCCCCGGAGGTTTTTTTTTTAGAGTTTTTTGAAATTAAGCATGGTAAGTGCACTGTGTGCACACACATTTCCACACTCACACACACACACTCATGCACGCACGCAAAAACCTAAACATTATTCTTTAATAGAACTTAATAGTAAGCCAAAAGCTAGGCTTATGTGAACCCATTTCTAGCGAGACGACCGCATTAACAACATCCTGCTGTGTAATGAACACTTTCGTGTGGTTTGCACAGAAAATGTTTTGTTTAACATCTGTTCAATTAGTGTTTTCATTTCATTACTGAAGTTTGTTTTAGAATCAACAAGTTCATTTTCCTATTAGATGTTTGGAAAGGGACTTCAGTGGGTGCATGCCAGCACCGTCTGTTTAGATAACCCTCTTGAAATAGACAATTACACGAGGTCAATGGCAATGTGTTTTCTGGTGTTTTAGGACAACACTTCCTCATAATAGCACTTCGTACACCTGTCCCAAAGTAAGACATTTTCTAGGTGGAAAAGCACCTCAGGTTAGCACTGAGCAAGCCTTTTCTAATAGGAAATACAGCAGTAAGAAAATTTCCCTCGTTTGAACCCGTTTACTGTCATTAAAGTGAGTAATGAGTTAGGAACGTGTGACAATTTAATTATAAATTGTAATTGAAAAGCAGTTGAAGTGGAAAAAACAAAGCTAGACAGTAATTAGAAAAGGATTTAGCTCTCCTTTGTTTTATTTAGTAAATTTATGGACAATTATGGTTGTCGCCTTTTATAAAAGGAAAACATACTACGAAACATAAAACAGATGTTTCTTTTAACAAAGCAGATTGTCTCTTTATTACCACAACTATTTGTCAATGATATGGGGAAGGACTTCCCTTTATCTCCCTCCTGCTTGTCAATTAAAAGAGGAACCAGTACTATCTGTGGGACAAGAAAATAATTTGTATTAGTGATAACGTTTTCTTGGGGTGCATTATGTTGTCTGAAAATGTTTGAAGCCGGAAAAGGAATGGACTAAACACCATGAACTGTACAGTGAGGATACGTAACTATCTCAAAGGCATTTCTCAAAACTACCAGGTCAGACTGGACAGAATGAGGGCCATAGGGGCTGGAAAGAAAGACTTCTTCAAAAACTAGCATTCTCAAGCTAGGTTTAAAAAAAAGAGAAAACTAGGGTGCTTAAAAATAAAAAAAATAAAAAATTTTAAAAATAAAAAGCAATTATCTTACTAATTTTGAGTGAGGTGATGTAGTTAATTGTATCTGTATCCAAGCAGAGGAAATTGTCCTTAGAACTCTGTGCCATTACACTACATAACTAATAACAACTGTGGATCAGTTAGACTCTGAATAGTGTGCATAGTCAGTGGCTTCATTTTTAATGTGAAAATGCTGTCTGGGAAAGAAAGAAATAGAAGGAGAAAGAAATACACAGACCAAACACAGCGCATTTGTGGGTGGGATAATGGATGCAGACACACAGAAAGACCTAAGTCAATTGCCATAATCTCCAGAAGGGACAAAATAAAACTTTGCTAAATGAAACCACGTCTTAAAAGCAGTATGTCTGTGAAAAGATAACCATTTAGACAAGTAGTCATCCCTTAATTCATTTTCTTTATCTGCTTGGATTTTTATAGATTGGATGGTCTCAAAACAAGACCCAGCTGTACAAGCAGGATGGGGACCAGAATGGGGCTGGGTTGAGGAGGTTTTTGGTGTTTAAAACACACAGGTACACACATGCACAGCGCTAGCAGACCACTGTTTCTCCACACTGTACGCTAGAGCTAGGAAAATGAAAGGTACACCAGTGTTCTCATAGCTGTGTATCCATTTCTCCCTGCAAACCAGGTCTTTGACTGCCACTTCCTTCCTAACGAAGTGAGGTACACTCACAACGGCTGCCCTATTCTCCATGAGGACACCGTGAAGCTCAGGCTGTACAGGTGAGTGGCACCGGACGCTGCTTATTTCTCGCCAGATAATCACTCGTGTACTTCCTGGGCCCTTCCTGTGCTATATATTATCATGACAGCAGCTAATAGATTCCAAAGGAGAAGGTAATCAGGGAAATGGGAGAACCTGAGTGGGTGACACAAGAACTGCAGCCGGCTTTCAATTATCTTCATTTGCGTTGCCTTCGCCGTGGTTCTCCCACACACTGCTAACTTCATTCTCTTTCCTTCTCGTCTCTTACCCAGTCTCTAGTATTCCAGCCCATCACTTGTCATGGGAAACAGAAACTACAAACTACAAATTCTTAAGGAGAATCAGGTTAAAAATATACTCCAAAATTAAATGAAATTCTTTTTAATTACTGGCTTAAAGAAGTGCAATCTTTAAATAATACAAATGTGTTTAAGTATAGTCAATTGTAAAGTTAAACATAGGATTGACAGTATGACCCAGTAATTTCCCTTTTAGTTATATATACTCAAGAGAAATAAAATTCAAAGTTTATGCAAAGCCTTGCAGCATTGTTTATAGCAGCTAAAATATTGAAAAACTCCCACTGATGAATGATATGTTCATGGCATGGACTGTTATTAAGCCATACAAAGGAATGAAGCTGTGATTCATGCTACAGTGTGAATGAACCTTTTACATGCTGTGCTAAGTGAAAGAAGCCAGGTACAAAAGAACACATGTTGTATAGTTCTATTTCTATGACATGTCAGAATGCCATAGAGACAGAAGTAGATCAGTACCGTGGACGGCCGAGGCTGGAGGAGAGGCAATTGAGGGAGGGCTACTAATGGATAGCTTTTGGGGTGGTGAAGATGTTCTGAAGTTAGTCACGATGGTTGTGTAACTTCATGAATACACTGAAAGCTGCAGTTATGCAGTAAAAGAATAAATTTCACAGCATAGGATATCTCAGTAAAATTAACTTTAAGGTTGTAATGATAGTATTACTGATTTCATTGAAACAACTGAGAACTCAATATAGGTGGAGTAGGGCTTTGTATAGTTTTTTACTTGTCTTTTATTGCTCTTGAGAATATTTAGTTAAAATATGTTGGTGTAGATTTTCTTTAAGCACAAACTAATGCAAAAGACTTTTGAGGAAGACACTGAGCAGTGAATCGTTCTATAAACATCTCTGACCACTACTGTAGATAAAGATCTATGTTGAGCATAGGAAGCACAAGAATGAAGATACACAGACCCCGTTGGTGCTCATGATCTAAGGCAAAAAGATGGGCAGATAATTAGGAAGCAGAGCCAGAAGTGTCAAAAGGAAGGCACAGAAAATAAAGTGGCAAGGATTCCTTAGGAAGAATTCCTTTTCTACGAGCAGGATTCCTTAGAAGGCTACAAAATCAGCAGTCCAGGCTGTTTGATCTTTCAAAACTCTAGAGTTAAAAAAACAAACTGACTTCAAAGAGCTTGCCAGGAGGGGTTGAAAAGCTAATGAATTCTGGTTGATCCCACTCCTTTCTTGAAATTCTAGGGGCAGGAAAGTTTGAAAAGTACACACAGAGGGCAGGGTTAGAGGAGCCAGGACTGTGCTTAGTTTTGAGGATGGTAGAGGAGTTGGAGGCCGAGGATCAGGGAGCGTGTTTATTCCCCACTTATCTCCTCCTCAGCCATTTTGGCCAGCTCCTGGGCTTCTCTGTCTTCACCTTCCTCATCTTTAAAGTGAAACTGACAACGTCTATTACAGATTCCTGTAAGGATCGAAAAAGATTCTGTTGTAGAATTTAGCGCACTGCCTGGACCATAATAAAAGCATAGCTATTGGAGATTGCATTATTAATGCAAACTCATCACTGATTTTCTAAAATAACAGCTCACCTCCATTCGTGTCTGCAAATATAGAGAACAGAGCACCCCTCCGTACTCAGAACAGTCACTGAGAGCACGGAAGGGACGGCAGTAGCAATTGCTGGACGACTTTACACAGCAAGTCTGAGTGAGCACCCAGACTAGTTAAATGACCACCCATTTACGGAGTTTTTGAGGAAAAAAGGCCATGATACTTCATTTGATGCTTCAGAAACCCTTCACCCCTTCAGTCCTGAGTTAACACTAAAGCGTAAATCACACAGACCTTGTGTTCTGAAATTACACGTGTGCTGGAAGTGAGATGCCAAGACCTCAGCAGTCACTAAATAGCAGTGTGGACGCTGAGTGGAAGGCAGGTGTTGAAAGAAAGATGTTCAAAGGGGGAAGCGGCAGGAAAAGGCACTGAATCCAAGGAAAAGAGAAGAAGAGCTGTGAATAGACAGGTTGGGGGCAGAGCATGAAACAAAGTTCAAACACCACCCTGTGTACCAGGTTTGTGGAGGTCAGGCTTTCAGCTTCAAGTTAAGTGACAGGGATCAGAAGTAGCTGAGCATCAGTAAACACTGCCTTTGCTTTACTCTGTGCACAGATTCACTGAAACAGACACCTTCACGGAGACCTTTCTCCTGCGGGTCTACCTCGTGGAACCAGACTGTAACATCATCCGGATGAGGAGCCGCGCGCTGCAGGTGTCCGAGTTCCACGGCCTGTCCCGAGCTATCGATAAGAACCTGCTCCAGTTTGATTATGACAGGACGGCTGGCCTGGAGTGCACAGTAAAGTTGGACCCTGTGGACACTCATCTGCCAGCCCACGGCCAGATGGTTGTGGTGGAGCCTGGACCAGAAGGACCGCGTGGAGATCAGCCACACAATTTTTTCCCCGAGTCTCGTATGATATCCTTTAATACTTATCAGAGTGTTACTAATGCTGAGAAAAATATCCTTAGATAGTCATCGTCCACCATGACAAAGGGTTCCATGAATGAAAATGACTTTTGTCTTGTTGAAAAGTATAGGTTAGTGGTCAAGAGCCTAAACTTTGGGGGTTGTTGGTCTTTTTTTTATGAGACACGAGCTCACTATGCAGTTCAGGCTGGCCTTGAACTCACTTTGTAGCCCAGGCTGGCCTCGAACTCCAACAAGCCTCCTGCTTCAGCCTTTCAAGTGCTGAGATTACAGGCGTGCTCCGCCATGCCTGGCAAGAGCCTAAATTTTGGGAGCAGAAAGACATAGATTTGAAAGCAACCTCTGCTGTTTATTTCCCGCGTTATTTTAGTTATTAACTGCTATGGGCCCCTGTAGGTTGGGAGAAGATAATAGCTGCTCCATCGGGCTGTGTAAGGATGGGAGTAAATGAAATCACACACACACACACACACACACACACACACACAGCATAACATAGTGTCTGACTCAGAGTAAGTACTAATCGATTGTCAGCTGTTACTAATAGTAATGGCAGCAGTAGTAAGGGTAGTTTTATCTATATTTCCTTAAGTGTTACTGGGTTGTTGTCTAGCGTGAAATAGAACTGATAGGTAGCAGCCATGTTTAATTCAAGGAGGGTTGACGGACAATGTTCCTGCTAGTATTTGTTCAGGCAGTAGATTTTGGGCACTTCCTGTAGCACAAAAGTGTTCTTCTATAGGAAGTGTGCCAAGAAGTGTAAGGAATAATCATGGCTGTAAATAATGGCTTGAATTTGGACAGAGGTTTACTGAAGGTGCTCTTGAACAAAAATTATCTCATCTGATCTTTACCACCATCTGGTGAAGAAATAGATGATCTGTTTTGTACATCATAGAAGTAAGACTCAAAAAAGAAGTAGTCTGTGAGATTCATAGACCCAAGAAGAGTGAGAGATCCAATTGGACAGAGGCATGAGGACACCTGGAGAGTTATAGTTTTCAGTGAGACACAGAAGTTTGAGTGGTGACGGAATGTTGAAGAAAGGGTTTAGTAAAAGACTCATTGGCTCTAGAAGGATACATGGGATCGGAGTACATCTGAGGATCTGAATGAGTAGAACAGTCTAGGGGACATTGTGTGACAGAGCCATCGGGCTGATGCCTTACAGGGAAGATTGGCACGAGGCTGGGGAAGTCCTACAGTGAGTCATTGTCCCATTCATCAGAGATGTTCACACACCAGAAAACACATTTTATTATACTTTATCTCAAAGTTTTATTAGAAAGGCTTGGAGAGGCAACTGGTCAACTGTCTGTTTAGTAAGGGAAATTATCAGCTTTCAACATAATGGCAACCCACTCAGTGAGCGGTTAGAAGGTGTACCTGAGTGTGCTTAGGTGGTGAGAAAGAATAGCACCCACGGGAGAAAGGTCTTTTGTTTAATTTTTACAGTAGCTGTGTTTAAAGGGCAATCCTAACGCACCACTGTGCATTCTAGAACTAGGGACAGAACTGAAATGTCCAGGCAGAAGCTGTACCCTGGGACTGAAGAAAATAGGAAGTCTCAAGGTGAGCTGTGAGGAGTTCCTGCTGATGGGGCTTCGCTATCAACACGTGCAACCCCCTTCTCCCGACATCGATTATATCTCCATCCAGCTCGACCTCACGGACAGCAGGAGTAAAATTGTTTACAAGGTAGAGTCTGGTTATGTGTTGGTGTCCCCAGCTGACTCACAGGAAGAAAGCCATCTCCATGGGGCGGCTGGTGTTGGCTCCTCTGCCGGGAAAAGTCCTGCGCTATTGGGGTGCAGCTGCCCAATGTCTCATGGTAACTGCAGGCTTGTTTACTCTGTAACTACTTAACACAGTAGCTTTTATGCATAATATTAGCACCAAATTTCTCTCTTTCTCTGGTAGCTGTACATCCCAATGTGGGAAGGGCCAGGGCTATTTACATGTTCACTATCTTTGTTCCTTATCTCCAGAACTTTATTAATAATTTAATTAATTTTTTTTGGTTTTTTTTGAGACAGGGTCTTGCAGGCTGGCCTTGAACTCACTTATGTAGCCCAGGCTGGCCTCAAACTCATGAAGATCCTCCTACCTCAGCCTCCTGAGTGCTGGGGTCATAGGTGTGCACCACCATGCCTGGCATAGAGCTTTTTTAATTTCTTGGTTCTAGAACTGAGTCCAGGGCGTTGTACATGCTAAGAATACACTCGACCACTGAGCTATACTCCAGCACCAACTGCCCGAACTTTTTTCCTTTTGTTTTTTGACTTTTTCTGTTGTTGGTTGACTCTTGGCAATACCTTCTTCTCAATGCTTTATTTTCTCCTTGCCACTGGGGTCCACTCTGCAAGGCCATAGGGAACTAGGAGGGAGGGGTAGCTAAGTGCCACTTTCATGGCTGTGGCAGGTAGCACCATTGTCTCTCTTTCCCACTTCCGGATGAAGAATTGGGTCCTCCAGGTGACAGGGTCCCACCTTCCACCAGCTTCTAATTTCTCTCACTCTTTCTCCTCTTGATCTCTTCACACTGAAATGATGACCAAAAGTGAAGTCAACTTTTACGAAATATTTAGCTTGCTACTCTACTGATTTGGGTACTTGACAGCTTGTTTATCTTGGAAACTCTGGCCACAGTGTGCCTGTGGAAACAGCTCAGATTTTGTGCTGATATAAAGATGATCTGGGATGATATTTAGAAAGACTTCCATTTTAATACTCTATCTTCCCACTAGAATTTCCCCCAAAAGGCTTAGTCAAATATTGAACGTTATTACCCCCAAAAGTTGATAATTTATGGAAAGATAAGGAAATGATTAAACAAGACCATAGAATTTTAGATTTAAGAACCCTTTGAGGTGCTTCAGCCTAACTGGTCAGGTAAATCAGCTGAGGCAGATTCCTTTGTCTGGTAGTACGAGGTAAGGGCATAAACATGGGTCCAGATCTCCTGGGTTCAGACATCTGCATTGTTGAGAGGACCCGGTTGTCAAAGCCACATTCATTTCATTCTGCTGGATACTGAAACTGGAGTAGGAGGGGTCATCTCACAGTTGAACCAGAATGGTTCTCTCAGCCATGGGACACGTTGCTATGGGGAATCTTCTGACCCATAACATTTATTGAGACCTCAGGTTCCACGAAGCCATTGCATGGTTTCTTTGGGAGGTCTTTCACTCATAGCTCTCTTATTTTGGGAGAATGTATTTCTAGCCTGAAGGTTCACTTGCGATGCCCTTGCTCTACAGCACAACTGAGCAACCCTCTTTCAGTTGTATGAGTAGAGCTATAAAGGCATTTTTTCCTTCATCCTTTCCTTCCCCCTTTAAAGCCGGGCATAGTGGTGCATACCCGTAAGCCCAGTACTGGGGAGGCTGAGGCAGAAGGATCATTGCAAGTTTGAGACTAGTCTGGCCTCCCTCTCCCTTTAAAACCACCTGGCAAGAGATAGGCGGGATGACCAGGAGAGGTTGCTGGGTTGTGCCAGCCACTACCAGCTTCTTTGCTTTGGCTGTTTCATTTAGTATTTACTTAATACTTGGGAGTACGGAATTTCATTTTTTTTTTCCTGAATTTCATCTACAGATATGAAGAAAATGAAACATAGTAGTTGGATAATTTGTCTACAGTCAGACAAATTACAGGTGCTGGAGAGAGAATCACAAACACAGCTCTTTTTTTTTTTTTTTTTTTTTTTTTTTTTTGTTTTTCTCCGGTACCTGGAACCGAACTCACGACCTTGCGCTTGCCAGGCAGGCACTTTTGCCGCTGAGCTAAATCCCCAGCCCCAAACACAGCTCTTTTTGATACCATAATGGGTGCTCCCTTTTTAACTGGCTGCATATTGAAGTCTCTGGAGAGCTCTAAAAATACTATTTTTCTTGTCTGCTCATTGTAATAGTTAGATGTCTGGAAATGGGTCCTGATCAACAGTACGTGTTTAACAGTCCCTGGGTGATTTTAGTGTGCAGCCAGGCTTCAGATCACAGCTGGATACATGCTAGGCTGTAGCTTTATTACATATCATGCCATTAACCCTGTATATTATAGCTTCATTCATATTATCTCCTCCTTTGCATTTTATTTCTCCTTCAAAAGTCAGAGAGTGCATGGTTGCCCGTCCACATCAGAGCTGGCATTCCGAACCAGATTCCAAGGGCTGCGTTCATGTCCACGTTTATTCTGGAAGTGGATCAGTTCATCCTGACCTCTTTGACTACATCTGTTCTGGACTGTGAAGAGGATGAGACCCCTAAACCATTGCTGGTGTTCAACATCACAAAAGCCCCCCTCCAGGGCTACATCACTCACCTCATGGACCACTCCCAACCTATCTCCTCCTTCACCTGGAGACACCTCAGTGACATGCAGATTGCTTATCAGCCACCAAACAACAGCCACTGGGAGAGGAGACATTTTGAGGTAAGAAAGAGGACATCCAGCTTAGTTGGTATTCACAGAGCTACTTAGGAGGGCACTTTCGTTAACCCTCAGGTTCAGATTCCTTTGAACATTCGTTGCTTCAGAAGAGAACCATTTACTGTGAATCAGGATGCAAACTAAATGCCCGGAAAGCCAAGCAGGTAAACAAATCAACAAACCTGCACAGAGACGCTGTGCTGGGACAAAATGAAGGCGCTAGTGTCAGCAAGTAGCTGCAGCTCAGCTCCAGACCACCAGTGCCACGTGGGAACTTGGTGCCAGGTTGCTGTAGCTGTCATTTGTCTCGGGAAGTTGGACACCCATATTTTTTAAAAATTGTTTTTAAAAAATTTTTAAATTAAAAAACCATAATTTAAAATTATAAAATATATTGTGCCAACTCCAAAAATATTTTTGGCGGGCCATATTTGGCCTAGGCTTTCTAGCTTGGGAGCTCTGAGGTCCTTCTACCACCTTCAACAGCACAGACCACTGATGTGAGAGGTGCGTTTGTTCATGGCTTCTTACTAACACATTCTTTCATTCCTTTTTGTTTGCAAGAGCTTTGTATGAGGGGCACTCACAGGGGGGATTCCACAGTCTCACTGAGTGACTAATTTCACTGTCACTGTCCTGTAGGAAGTCCTCTTTCTCTCTGATCTAAATCCCTTTTGCTCTAGCTTCAGCCTCTTCCCTCTTGTTTTGCATTCACTGAGAGTGGAAAACAGCTGGTTACAGGCTTGCACATAATAACACTTCACATCTTTAAAGACCCACCAGCAAGTTGATTCGAGCAGGATGGAAAATTTAAACGAGCAGATTGATATAGACTGGAGTTCAGGTTTATTAAGGAAAATGAGTGTCCCTGGGGTTAACAAATTGCCCTCTGTGTAATTTAGGCTTTTTCAGCATTTAGCCTCAAGGGCAGTCAGAAGACTTCAGACTAGGAATGCTGTGCTTTGCCCTCTGCTTTTATTTTCTTCTCTTTGTGTAGTACAATATGGCAGCTGTTTTTTCTTTTCTTCTATCATCTCTCTTCCTTTCCCTATTATGAAGGAATTTCTCATTTTACGACCAGTGTTACCTTGAGTGCAAACATAAATCATTGCTATTGTAGCTGTTTTCTGGGAGTATTTTCTGGAACTGTAGAATGTAATTTTAAAGAAGAACCTTCCAAATGTGTGATTTTGTTGTTAGAAGGTAACTCAGTATTCTCAGTGGAGACTGTGTGCTTCTTAAGCATGTGTGGTGAAAGACCTGGGCCTATGGCCCAACCTAATATATATTTTATATTTCAACTCCAAAAAAAGCATCTCCTGCATCTCCTGATTCATGTTTAGTTTGTTACTTTGGCACTTTTGATTCTTTTTTTTCTTATTTAATATTTGTGGATACATGGCACTCTGCTTCCTTCCCCTACCCTTTCAAAGTGGACCCCACATTCTTCAAAAGTAGGCAGTGTGCCTTGTATTTATGTATTATATCTCACCTTCTTCTCTCAATATCTGGTGCAATATATACATAGATGTAATAAAGCTCAAATCTTACCATGTATCCTCAACTTACTAGTTGTAGATTTCATGAGAACAAAAAATTCTAGATTTTTAAAAATATATGTAGTGTGATAGATGCCTTTAAATTAGAGTGTCTGAAAATCAGCACCATTGATATTTTGGGTCACATAATACTTTGTGCTGGGAGCTGTTCCGAGTGGCTGGATGTTTGCACCACTGGCCTCTCCTACAATTGCCAGTAGCTATTTGGTGAAGCCAAAAATGTCTCTAACAGCCCCAAATATCCCCTGGAGGTGAGGTGGGTACAAAGTTGCTCTTGAGACCCACTGGTATAAAGCCTCTTCCTTAGAGAGAGATTGGAGTGGACTAATACTATAGTGAGACAGCCCTAGCAAATGAAGGGACACTACTCCACCATATTTCCCAATTTCAGATTAATAAATTCTTTCATGGAGGAGAAAATTTAAAAATACTGATACATGAAGGAACAGAATCTAGAGCCTCAGGGGAAGGGAGGATGGACAGAGGATGGTTTTTTGACATTTTTTTGGTATTTGGAATCAAACTCAGGATCTTGCACTTGCCAGGCAGGTGCCTGTGCTGCTGAGCTATATCCGCAGCTGGGAGAGAGAATGTTAATGCGTACAGGGACCAGGTGTACAGAAAGAACGTCTCTAATGTTCCATAGCATAATAAACCAACCACGGTTACAACATCTCATATATTTCAAAATAGCTAATAAAGAGGATCTTTGCATGCTTCAAACATGGAAATGATGAATATTTGAGGTGACCCGTATGCCAGTTACTCTGGTCTGGTTATTGCAATTTTTATGCATGTATTGAAATTCCATGCTGGTCCATATAAATATGTGAATTATGAGTCAATTTTTAAAAAATCAAGTATAATACCTAAGAAGAAAATACTTCACCTATCCAAAAAAAAAAAAAAAAAAAAAAGACTCACTCTTTACAGGGAAAAACCCCAAACTTTAACACAAGCACCTTAACAAAATTGGATACAGAATGAAAATTCATTTAGCCGGTCATGGTAGTACATGCCCGTACTCGCAGCCTCAGGAGACTGAGGCAGGAGGATTGCTGCAAGTTTGAGGTTAACCTGGGCTGCAGAGAGAGTTTAAAGCCAGCCTGAAATGCATAGTGAAACCTTGTCTCAAAAAGGCCCCCAAAAATTCATTTAAGTGAAACTGCCCCAAAAAGCAAATATACAGAGATTGAAAGCAGATCATTGGTATCAGGGTAGAGAGGGTGGTGAGGAGAACTGGCAGTAATGAGCATGAGGATTCTATGGGTACAGTGGAAATGATTTACATTTATTTATCTGAAGTTTATACAACTTTAGTAAACTTATTTAAAAATCATAGAAATATACACTTAAAATGAGTAAGTTATATAATATGTAAAACTTGTCTCAATTGGTTGTAAAAATAAATGTTTAAAAAATAGAAATAAATTTAAAGTTAAACAAGAGAAAGATCTGAGAACAATAGAAGCCTGAATCCATCTGTTTATGTAAAAGGAGAGCTGTACTTTAACTGTACTTTAATGTGTCAGTATGTAGTTCACATCCGTTTGTTTACTGCCAGGTGGAGCTGGAGCTGTATGACTTTTTCTTTGAAAGAAGTGCACCCATCACGGTCCACATCTCCATCAGAACAGCAGATACCAATGCCCCACGAGTGTCCTGGAATACGGGTGAGGCTCAGTGGGAGGTGTTGAGCCCCGGGGTCCTGCAGGGAACGTAAGAAGGTAGAAGGATCCACAAAGGAAGGTCATTTTATTCTCATTTTACAAATGAGGTAACTAAAACTCATATGTTAAGGACATCAGATAGATCTTTTCTGCTTGTTTTTGTTTTATTTTTTTCTAGCAGCAAGCTAAGAAATTTAAATTCAGTGCTGTTGTATTCTGAGGCTACCTTCTTTCCTTGGTAGGAGATAAGCCAAAAGAACAAATTTCAACTTTCTTTCATTCACATATTGAAAGTCTTAACCAAGTTTCCCTAGAAACAGACTGTGAGGCAGATCACATGCGCTAACCCTATACTGAAAAGAAGAGTCCGGGGAGAAGCAGGTGAAAAGGTGTTGTGCAGTACCCTTTCCATCACTATGACAAACACCCCAGATAGTCAGTGTACAGGTGAAAAGATTTATTTTGACTCACAGTTTTGTCTCAGTCCATGGTTGGTTGACTCCTTTGCTTTGGGCCTGTGGTGAAGCAGCGTATCACGGTGGGAGTACAATGCCAAAGCAAAATTCCTCACCTCATGGCCAGAAAACAAAAAGAGAGGCAGAAGAAGAGACTGCAGTCCCAGTCTTCTTCAAGGTCATGCCTCCAATGACCTAAAGACCTCCCTTTTGACCCCAGTTCTTAAAGGCTGCAACACCTCCCAACAGTGTACCCTGGGAACCAAACCACTGACATATGGAACTTTGAGGACGTTCAAGATCAAACTGCAGCAGGTGGGATGGCTCAGCTGATCACCTCTTATATAAAGCAGGTGGATCATTCTGTAGTGCTGATGTTTCCAGGGTGGAGATGGAGCCATTGTGACTGGGAGGAGATGCGGGTGGGGTGGGGAAAAGGTGAACAACTTGACAGCTCCCAACCCTGTTGGTAATGAAGATGTTTGATGATGCTACAGCTCACTTTCGGAATCCTGATCATGGAATCCTGTCTGTATTCCTGCTGTGACAAGCAAGCAAATTGCTCTCCATACCTCTGGTGTGCAGGTTCCAAGCACAAGATTTTATTTTAGGGAGCTGGGGATTTAGCTCAGTGGCACAGCGCCTGCCTGGCAAGTGCGACGTTGTGAGTTCGATTCCCAGTACTGGAAAAAAAAAACCAAAAAACAAAACAAAACAAAACAAAACAACAAAAAAAAAAACCAAGATTCTATTTTAGACCATAAGTTAAAGACCTTAGTTTTTTTTTTTGGAATCTACATTAAGTACACCTAACAGTGTTAAACATGCCTGAGAACAGTAGCTCTGTGTAAGTATATTGAACCACATTACATTTTCTGGCTGTGGGCTATGTATACTTTCACAAATTACATATAAAAGCACCTTATAATTCTTTTGTCCTCTGAAAACAGCTGGATGTAGTCTCTGAAAAACACCCTGTGGACATTTTTGAAATAGAGAACACTGTGGACATAACACATGCTGTTTCCTGCAGTATTTAATTTGATTTTTAAGGATGTATCATAACTGTCAAGTTGTCAGATTAGAGGCAATAGTACTAAGAATAAAGTTATTACTAAAAACACAAGCTACATTCAAGTTTCTTGAAAAGCATCTGAAAAAATTACTTTCAGATAGTGTCATGAATGAAAATTTATTAATCTTCTCCTTAAGCAGACATGCCAGATGCCATGTAACTCTGCATGACGCTTGTCCACTTCCTCTTGTAGGTCTGAATCTCCTGGAGGGGCAGTCTCGGGCCATCACCTGGGAACAGTTCCAGATTGTTGACAACGATAACATTGACGCCGTCCAGTTGGTCACCGTCGATGGTCTGCAGCATGGACGGCTTACAGTTAGAGGTGAATGACCTACCTGTGCAGCCTAAAAAAGAACCCAAGAAGTATTTTCTTCAAATCATATTCAATAGGGTACATGTAGCACCTCTTGGGCCCAATCTCCAAATGCAATTGTCATATGCAGAAAGCTAAGTAATCTTGAAGTTGTATGCTATTGTGTGGGATACTCAAGTCAGTGTGTGACATTTGTGAACCATGGTTTGTACTTGACACAGTTTTGTTTTGTGGGTGTCATGTAGGGCGTCTTCTAGACATGCTCCTTAGCTAACTGTATTTTTCCTTTGGAAAACTAACTATCTCCCTCTGATTTCTTGGTTGCAGGAAACATACTTAAAATAGAAAACCTTTCTTTTAACACTTCAGCGATAATGTTATGATGTTATTACTAGTTGCCATAGTTTATATGAAATGGATTTATAATTATATAGATGGTAGTTACCAAGGTATCATCCTAAAATATAATATTCATACTTCATGATAAAATAATCTGTTGTTTTTAACAGGATAATCCAATTATCCTCTTAGTTTGCTTAACTATAAAGCGAAAAGAGAACCCTGATTTATCATCATGTGTGACAAGGAATCATAAAATTAAAAAAAGATAAATCATGATAAATTTTCCTGCTCAATTCCAGGACAGTGGGAGGTCAGTTTAAACTGGTGTTTGTCAGTTAGGGTACATATTCAGTTGCATGTAAAAGAAATTCAACTCTAGTGGCTTAATAATTAGAGTTTTTTAAATGTCTTTAAGACTGAAAGAGGTAGAAGGGACAAAGAAAGATGTTGTACCCAGCTAAGTTTGCTCTCGTAGTGTGTTTTTCCAGGAGCCCAGCACAATGACTTCCACTTATATCTTTGTACCTAATTTGTCACTTGCAGCCCCTCTGCACGATGGGAGTCTGAAAACTGGAGTATTTTTAATTGACTACAGTGTCATGCCAAATACAACCAGGACTCTCTTATCTTAGTAAGGAAGAAGTAGGAAGTGGCCATCAGACCGGAAAATAGCAGTGCCTGTGATGTAACGGTTTAGTAATTTATTCTTTGAGGTTTTTCATGGAGCCATGTGGTGTGAGGAGAGTAATTGGGTGCTCCTGCCACCAAGAATCACAATGTTCTGATCAAAACTTGAAGCAATGCTTATTAATACTGCTGAAATGAAACTAGGAATGGTAGCTGTAAAGCAATGCTGCTCTGGGATTAGGAGAGGTGAAAACAGCAGTACTAACATTAACTAACCATTTACTTTGTGCCTGTCATTTATGTTATTTCTTCCATTTCAGCTTTGTGGAGCAAGATATGGTTGCTATTCCCATTTTATGAATAGGGAATCTGAGACTCAGAGAAAAAGCTGATTTGCCTAAGTCATACACCTAGAAAGTGGCAGAACTGAGATTCAAATCACAAAGTCAAATCTGTGCCAACTCTAGCTGTTGGCCCTTAAGCCAGTGACTCTCAAACATTAGAATGCACTAGACCCTCCTGAAAGGCTTGAAAGAACATTTCTGATTCAGTGGGCCAGGGGCAGGGCTTGATATCTTTCCAGCAGCTTCCCAGATGGGGTTGATGATGCCCATTCAAGATCATTCCCCTAAGAAATTTGTGCTGTGGGATGATGACAATGAGTTGGAGAATAATCTATTTATTACAGGATTATTATTATTCAAGTTCCTTTATCTTTGCTATGGAATATAGATAGGTCTTTATATTAGTGTCAATGGAAACAAATATATATGAGACTTATCACTGTAATTGGCTTATGAAATTATGGAGACTGAGAAGCCTCATGTTGGAGAACTAGAAATACTCGTGGAGTAATTCATTCCTAGACGGAGGCCTGGGAACAAGGGCAGCTGATGGTGTAACTCCCAGTTCAAGGCCAAAGGTCTGAGAAGCAAGGGGCTGCCCGGGGCTCGGGGGTGCTGGTGTGAGTTGCAGAGTTCACAGTCCCAGGAACCAGGAATTCTGATACGTGAGGGGAGAAGATGGATGTTCCAGCTCAGGAGAGAACCCATCCTTTCTGTGTCCTTCCTGGCCCTCAACAGATCCATGAGCGCAGATTTTCTTTACTCAGTGCAATGATTCAAATGCTAATCTTTTGCAGAAGCACTGTCCTCAGAACCATTCGGAAACAATGTTCTTTAGTTGTTTATTTATGTATGATGCTGGGGAATAAGCCAGCTGAGTCAGCATAGAAATTTAACTATCACAGGATTGCTATCCCTGTTTTACAGAGGAGTCTCTAATAAAATACCGTGCCTCTGTCTGCACAGTAAAGTGGCAGAGCCAGTGTTCAAAGCCAGAGTTGTGACGTCCCAGAGCCCACTACATAATCTGCAGACCATTTATGAGTTTTGACTTAGTGAGGAGTTTGTCGGGGCTATTTGATACATTTCTGACTAGTGATATTTTCAGCTGATGATGGCTTTTTCTGCCCCAAGCCCCAACCTAGCAGCTGTGCGGTTTCTGCAGGAGGGAGAGGTAGGGGTTGTGCCGCTGTGTTTGTTCCCCCTTCCTGGAGTGCTGTTCCCTGCAGCTGCCACCTGCAGGTTCCCTTACTCAAGCTGCTCCACCTCTGCTTTCTTATCAGGGGGGAAAGGATTTCTCTTCACTGTGTCAGACCTTCAGGCTGGCGTGGTCCGCTATCACCACGACGACAGTGACTCCACCAAAGACTTTGTGGTCTTCAGGATATTCGATGGATACCACAGCATCCGTCACAAGTTTCCTATTAACATTCTACCCAAAGATGACAGCCCCCCATTCCTCATAACCAATGTTGTCATTGAGCTGGAGGAGGGGCACACCGTCTTGATTCAGAGGTCCATGCTAAGAGCCTCGGACATGGACTCCAGCGATGACTATATCTTCTTTAATATCACAAAACCCCCGCAGGCTGGAGAGATCATGAAGAAGCCAGGGCCAGGGCTGATAGGTAAGTTCTAGGCAGTCACAAGAGTTTGAATGGGGTAGATTCTTTCATTGAACTTTCTGTGCAATGGTGAGTTGGCTAAAATTGTATCCGAATTTGTGCTAAGGTAGACACTACACTTGGGAAGTAAGATATTATTATTCCCACTTTATAGATGGGAAGGCTTAGAGTTAGGTAAATTAAGTTGGTCTGTCTGAGGTTGTACATTCAGAAAGTTCTAGAGCTGAGCCTCAAAATAACCATTATGCTATGAAAACTTAAATTTACCTACAGGATGATAGAACAAGTGAGTCTAAAGGGAAATGTTTGGCCTATTCTAGATGACTATTAAAATAATTTCATGAACAGTATTTGTGGTGAATAAATTCATGAACAGTATTTTTTGGTAGAATAATTTCATGACTACTTCTTAAGTAGGTAGTTCACGAGTTTGACAAAATAGGGACCAAACAAGTAGTTAGTGTTGCATCATATATTACTTTATTTGGTACCAGGAGTTGAACTCAGGATCTCACACTTGCCAAGCAGGTGCTGTATCACTGAGCTAAACTCCTGGCCACATCATATATTTAAAATAAGATATTTCTTGGAAATATTTTTCTAACTCTAATTTTTCTACATTATTAAGATGGGGGTAAATAGCAATTTTAGCCTTTCTGCTATATTATTTATAAATGTTGTGCCTAAAATGTTTAAGGCAGATTCCTTGAGTACATACAATAAACTAATCACAGAAAACTTTTAGAGATAGGCTCAATATAATCTAAAAGGTGGTATGTTGTGCGCTCTATAGGCTATTCTGTCCCTGGCTTTCTTCAGAGGGATTTACTCAATGGGATCATTTACTATCATCACTTTGGTGGAGAAATTTTTGAAGATTCTTTTGAATTTGTCATGTGGGACAGCCATGAACCTCCAAATCTCTCAGAGCCACAGGTAAGAGACTATTTCTGGACATTCTCTGTAGTATTACACACAGATACCAGGTCTGGAAGCTATTGTAGCTAAAAAGCTTTATGAATTTCTGTGTTTTCTGGTTTTTAAGGTTATTTAACCATGGGATCCTTTTATATAGAACATAACACAATTTGATTGCTTTCTAGCACTCAAGAAAATACTTCTTTTATGTGTAGTGATTAAAGTGTAATCTCTGGAGCTAGAGGGCCTCGGTTTTCTTCTTGATCCTGGCGCTAACTGCTCAACTTGCATACTTCTTTCCTTCCCCATAGAACAGGGAGTAGAAGAACCTTCCTCATAGAGTTAGTTTGAAAGAAAGCATCACAGCACTTATAAAGCACTGAACTTCCTAGTCCATGGTACATGCACAATACATAAATTTTCTCTTACTTATTGTTGTACTGGAAGATCTAATAGTTTTACTACCACTAGAGAGTATAGTTTAAAGATAGAGAAACAAGAAATAAGCATAAGAAAACATTGTCATATAGAAAGTACGGGAAAATGGAATCCGTAGTGTCTGGACAACTATGGAAGGGTAGAATCCTGGCAAAGAGGATAGCTAGTACTAACGGTTTAAAAAGAAGGCAGCTGAGATTAAATGATCACCTACTACGCACATTATTTTGCTAGATATTTTATACCTATGATCTTGGAAAGTAGCATATGTATGAATGCAACAGTCTCAAACCTGTCCTAGCATGACTGCTTACAGCATGTGTCCTATTCATCATACGTCTTCTTGCAGTGTCACCATCAATGGCATGAGCCGATGCATAGATGGCTGAGTATTCCTCCATTTGCTAAGAGGAATATAATGGAAGGTGTGAGCATTAATCCTGACATGCCAACTTTCTTGGATTAGGAAACACCTAGCAGACTAGCAGAACATGCCCCTTGGTGTGTCTGGGGGTTGCGGAGGCATGGCCTTGGGTGTTATGTGTGGCCTCTAGCCTGTTCCTTTCTGGCACTGGGCTTCCTGGCCACCATGAACTTAGCAGTTTTGTTTCACCGTGCTCTTCCACCATGATGTCTCTGCCTTGGAGCCAGCTGATCATGGACTGAGACCGCGAGCAAATTAAACCTTCCCTCCTTTACACTGGAAATGTCAGGTATTATGTTTAGCGATGGGAAAACTGACTAATGTAGAAAGGATGATCAGAAAGAAAGATACGAGTTCAGAAACCGAAGGAAGTCAGCGGTCACTTTCAACTCTGTGCTTTACCTTTCCACTCTCTTGGTGATTACTTTTGCTGTGCAAAAGCTTTTTAGTAAGATGAGAACCCAGTTGCTGACTCTTTATAGTATTTCTTTTGCAGTCTGGGTTTTGTTCATGAAGTCTTTGCCAACGCCTACATCTTGAAGAGTTTTACTTATTCTATGTTCCAGCAGATTTAGTGTTTTTGTTTTTATATTTGTATCTTTGATCCATTTTTATTTTATTTTAGTGCATGCTTGGTGAAAGACATATGTGTAGTTTTAGTCTTCAGCATGTAGAAAGCCAATTTTTCAGCACCATTTATTAAAGTGGCTGTCTTTCTTACAGTGAATGTATTTGGCTCTGTCAAAAATAAAGTGGCTAAGTATGTCTGGAGTGGTTTCTGCATCTTCTAATCTGTTTCATTGATCATCAGGTCTTTTTTGGCCAATACTATGTTGTTTATATCACAGTAGCTCTGTAGTATGATTTTGTCAGGGATTCTAATGCTCCCTGCCATGCCTTTGTTGCCAAGAATTGTTTTTGCTATTCTAGGTCTCCTCTGTTTCCAAATGAATTTTAGGATTGTCTTCTCTAGTTCTCTGAGGTATGCTAATGGTGTGTTGATTGAGACTGCATTAAATCTGTATAATGCTTTTGGTAATATGGCCATTTTTGCTATGTTGGTTCTTCCTACCCAAAAGCAAGGGATATCTTTCCATTTTCTGATATCATATTCAATCTTCTTTTTCAGAGTGCTATAGTTTTCAGTGTTGAGACCTTTCTCTTCATTCATTACATTGATTCTTAAGTGTTTCATTTTTTTTGGATGCTATTGTAAAAGGTGTTTTCCCTCTAATTTCTCTGTCAGGGAGTGTTATTTGTGTACATGAAGGCTACTGATTATTTAGTATTGACTTTGTATCCAGCTACCCAATTGAATTTGTTTATTAAATCTAGAAGTCTTTTCATGGAGCTGTTGGGGTCTTCTATGTAGAGCATCATGTCTTCCACAAATGATGATAATTTAACTTCTTCCTTTCCTATCCTTATTCCTTTTATTTCTTTCCCTTGTCTAATTGCTCTGGCTAATGCTTCCAGAACTACATTGAATAGGAGTAGTGTTAGAGCCATCTTTTTCTTGTTCCTGACTTTAGAGTGAACATTTTCAGCTTTTGTCCATTTAGTATGATGATGGCACTTGGTTTGTCATAGATGACTTTTATCAGATTGAGATAAAGACCACCTATTACAATTTTCTGTAGGGTTTTTATCATGAATGGGTGTTGGAGTTTGTCAAGTAATTTTTCTGCTTCTATTGAGATGGTCATGTGATTTTTGTCTTCGGCTCCATTGCTATGGTGTACTACATTTATTGATTTGTATATGTTGAAGCATCCCTGCATCTCTGGTGTGAATACTGTTTGGTCATGGTGTATAATCTTCTTGATGATTTGCTACATTCCTTTCACCAGTATCTTATTGAGGATTTTTGCTTCTATAATCATCAGTTAGGGTTTATGACAAAAAAAAAAAGTTGGCAGCCCACTGGAGGGGGAGCAGTGCCTAGGAAACTTGCTGCTGGATGCTGAGTCCTCTGTGTAGAGCAAAGTACAAGAGGCAAGGGGCCCTGTACCCCAAATCCACCCTTTTGGCTTGAGTTAGCCACATTTTTGCAGTCCATCGTTTCTTGGAGGCTTCACAGTATGGTGAATCTCGCTCAGCCTCCAGGTGGCTGTGCCACCGGCAGCCCTGTGGGCTGGATTGCCCTTTTGTAAACTCCTGTGTCTATGCTTTGTTCAATCTACTATTCTCTTATTTCAGATGGATGTGGGCATCAGGATGGATGTCCCTCCCTTTGTTCCTCTTACCTGTAGTTTTAGTTGATTTTCTCTGAGTTGGTCCAGTGTGACTCCCCCTCTAGTTAGCCATATTGAATCCACCTATGATTTATTTCTAAATCTTCTATGCATCTGTTGAACCGGAGCTGTGTTTCTGGACCACCATGTCACTCTTAATAGACTGTCCCTTTAAAGGTGGGAATTTCAGGACTTATTTTTTCTTCTTTTGTTATCATATATTTTATAAGTTTTGCTTTTTATATACATAAATTCATATGTCAGATGTCCCTGTAATAATACCAAGGTAATTAACACTATTGAAAGAGGATTATTTCTAAGTTTGGGCAAATACATCAGACCAAACTCTGCAGATCTGTTTATAAGTTTATCTTCTGTAATAGACTTTTAAAGAAGTCGTAATCACATATTTCTCTATTTCCATCTTTTTAATGGAGGAGA